CTTTACGTCGTAGCCTTGGGCAGACGCGAGGGAAAAGGAAAATCTCATCCCGACTTCGAGGAACTCTCCTTCTCTGGAGCCCTTCCTGTCTTGCTGAGTCGGGCACCTTTGCCGTCCTTCATGAGCTGCTCACGCACTGCCTGCACAAGAACTTTGGATGTTTTTGAGCTGGGGATAGCCCAACAAAGCTTGATTCTGACATTGCCGCGATCACATTGTACTCTACAGTGACCGGGACCCTTGTTCCCTCATTGCTGAGCTCATCTCGACAAGCACTTGCTTTGTGCTTGTGGAATCCCTGACCCTTGCTAGTCACTAGCTAGTCCATGCGAGGCAGGATTCTGCGAATACATCTCATCTCCGCCTCGCCTTCTTGCCGATTCTTTCTTCGAGGGCTGCTTAGCATGACTATAAAGCAGACAATTGCTGCTAAGCCGTCAGCCCCTAAGCCCAACTAACCCTATCTGATTTCTCCTTTCTTACTTGCAGCAGGTATGCGCAAATCAGTCTTTATTCGGAGTGCCGTCCAGTTCGCGTCATTTTTTCATCACATACCTCAAGTGAAGCCTTATCCGCATGTTCAGCCGCTGCTTAACCCTTCTATCTGCTATTTACCGTTATCCATTCCGTAGTTCTGCTCCGTTTATATATCCCTTGTTTTTCTGCGCATTTCAGCAACACCGGACGCGTGCCCTGTGTCGCTTTCGTGCCCAGCTTGGAAACCGGCCCCCAACACGTCGAGAGTTGAGACGGTGATGGGACACGGCGAGACCTTGCCCTCGAAGGCGAGCCGGCTCCAAGTGCGGAGCCGGAGGCATAGGGCCCCTTAATCGACTAGCATGTCGTCGCGAAGGTCGGCCAAGGCCCGCTTGATTGTTGGCCGCAGGACCGCCTCCACGTGCAAGCCGACGATCGTCTCTGCAGTAGATCTGCTAGCTCAATTCCAGCCGCAACCACCGGTGGCCTCCGAGGCCAGCCTGTCGTCCAGATTGGCCGTCAGCCCGGCGATGTTCCGGACGCCGGCTCGCACCATAGTCCGGAGGTACTGCGACTGGCCGCGCCAAGGCGACCAGCTCTGCGAAAGAGCCGCGCGGTGGCTCCAAGACAAGTGAAGCCGAACACTTGAGCCCGAAGGCAACCGACAGAGAGAGAGAGAGAGAAAGAGAGGGGAGAGGGAGTAGGATTTCATATAGGATTGCCGAAAAAGCCGATGCCCGGCGCTCCGCCTCCAGTCACCCAATAAACTCGGGTGATCTGCCTTTACTGGCGGCCCCGTAAACGAAGTCGTGCTCCCCCCGCCCCCCGCCCCGAGGCGGGGCAGTTCGGCGCCGTCAACTCCCAAAGCTCGGCCAGCTCGCGTTCGATGCTCGCCAAGAGCAAGAAAAAGTGCAGGCATTCTCCTTCGCAGTGGACTCCGCAAGGCGCCGCAGGCGGCGGTCAGCATCCATCGAGGGAGCCCTGACGAAGAAGTCGGCCTGGGTGCCGATTTAGGCGGGGAGGAGGCGAACTGCAGCGCCCATGACGGTGGGCGCGGTGCGACGAGTGGCCAGCAGTTTTGAGGAAGGCGATGTCCCGCCCAGAACAAGGCACAGGCGGCCCCTTGCCTGGACAAAGGCCTTGCCGAACGGCGCTACATCCGGGACATCGCGCGCTCCCTTGGCTAAAGGAACCATGTTCGGGACGTCGGGCACCTGCTCGGAGGCCTTCTCGACCAGGTATGCCTCAGGCCAAGTCGTCGGAGTCAGGTGAGTGAAGGTTTTTTTGGTGTCCGGGTCGGTAAGGCCTAGCCCCTCCAGACAAGGATGCCGTAAACGCCGCCGACAAAGATGTCCAAAGCGGCAAGGAGGGGGCCGGCGTGGTAAAGGCCAGCCCATGGAGAGGCACCACGTCCACGAATGGCTGAGCCTCGGCCGCCGCCTGGATGAAGGTGCGGAAGAAAATTTCGCCATCCGTCTGAAGGGCCCAGGTGGGCCGCCCCAAACGGAGGCGATGATGGTGCACCCGGCTCGATACTTGCCGAATCGCCCGACGTGGGTTGCTCGGCGTCCCTCTCTGCGCCCGTGGGCCCATCCTCCGGCGAAGATGCCGTAGGCGCAGGTGACGACACGGCAGGTGCCGCCAACAGATCCAGGCCAGTCGCCGAGGCGAAGTCGGCGAAGGTGTCGGAAAAGGTGTCAGTCCAGGAAGCACCGGAGGTGGCCATGCTGGCGACGTGAGGTGAAGGGACAACGGGGGTTCGAATTTTCAGGCGGTCGAGCCGGAGTGCTGCCGGCCTTCTTGACCCGGTAAGTTAGTCAGTTTGCTGACTGGCTTCAGTTCCTTACCGTAACCTGCTCCTGTAAAACTGAACTCGGGATTCACATCCGGCTCATTTTTACGAAAATCGCACCAACCACTACACAGGCATTTCTGTCCCCCCGACCAGTGACAAAGATTTATGTGACGGCTTCTTGAATTGTGGAGAGACTCACTGGCAGCCCTGCAAAGATCCACTGCTTCTCCAGCTCTCAAGCTCAGAAAACACGGTGACACCTCTGATACCCCGTTGTATGAGTACCCCTTCCTGTTTTGCACCCCGTGCGCCGTCACACCTGCTTCATGTCCATCGAGTCCTTGAAGACTGCCTTCACATAAACAGAGAACAGTCTGGCGGCTAACGGCAACCGGCAGCTATGCAAGTGCCTGTGCCATGCCTTTCTTGCTAGCTTCCACAGCCTACCAAGCTCAGACAACAGGCGAAGACAGCGTGAGCCAGGCAACAGCCGAGAGGGACCTCTGTTTGGGTGTCTTCGACAGAAACCTCCAGAATTCCTGAAGACCAGCGCAGCGACGAGATTCTCAGCTGGCAGTCAGACTTGTCTTCAGCACCGCTGAGACAAATGGCATGCTTTTCTTCAACCGCCCTTCGGGTCCTGAAAGCTCCGGCACCACTGAGAAAGACCCATTCTCGAATCTTGGAGGATCCTGAAGCGTGACTAGCAGCAGTGCAAGTCAGAAAGACGACAAGCAAGTACATGCAAGCCGCAAACCCTCTACTCAAACTCACCTCAACACGCATGCATGTGTGCATGCAGGCAGACACCGATGATGGAGTAAGAGATAATAAGAGGACCATGGAGAGCATGTTTTTCTCGCAATTTGCTTTGGATTGGTCTACATGCTCTACGTTTCGCACTGCAGCAGCAACAGCTCCACCGCGAGACAGATGGCCTTGGATTTGACTCTGGCGTTGGACGAGTCCTGCTCTGAAGTGCGTCCATCTGTCTACAATGCAGTCTTGAGTTAGAACACCACTTTGTTGATGCTTCTATGTGCCTTTGTGGGCAATTGCGACGGCGACAAGCAATCCCAAAAACAGTTGTTCTGCCAAACTGCCTGGCTACCACATAAGCCGTGAATGCGCGTGGCGGAAAGTCCTTCTGTATCTGCAGTCTCTCCTCACAACACCAACTGGACAGCAGAGTTAACCCGACGTGATGGCCATCCAAAGCCTCTACTCAAGGCAACAGTTGCTTGATGGGACACTGCAACACCAAGACTGTCCTCCAGAATCTCATCGTTCTCCGCATCGAGAAACAGACCCGGCACGGCTGGCACAGCCTTCCATGCAACGGAGCTGGAATGCAGTCGGTACGTCTCAGATCCATGATATTTTTGTAATTTTTTGTAACAGCCGCCAAATCCGCGAAGGGCATCGGCATCGCCGTCTACGCAGTCGTGCGAGCTGCTTCGTCCACATTTCCCCCCCTCGACACGACCGACACATGTAGCTCTGAACATCGCGCTGCATCCTTCTTCATCTGTCGCCGCTTCCCACCCTTGCACCCAAGGGTGTGAACACTGCTGCACATCCACCTGTGAACTTGCCATGCCACATGTTCAAACATCTCGCGCCAAGATTTGTCCGTGTAGCAGCGCTGGTCCGTTACTTGCCGGCATAGCTGCATCTCGCTCTGGACATGATCCAGTGCCTCGCTCACCCCGGAGTTCGCTTTGAGGCGAAGATTCTCAGCCTGGCTTCACGGCTCATGATGCCTCTGCGCCAGGCAGCGGGACCAAGCAACAGGTTCTGAGGATCCCGCGACTAGCCTCTCATGCTCCTCGACCACGTGAGCTACCTGAGCAAACACAGGTCTGATCTGCAACTAAGGCAAGGAAAGCTGCCTGTGCCAGAAACGGCTTGAGGCAGCTGGACGAGAAAGTGTCTGGATTCATTGGCCTGGCAGGCCACCGCAGGCTGCCACGGATGCTCTGATCATGCTGGTCTGGGCAAACTGCGACCCTGCTTCTCTCACGTGCCTGATGTTGCCCTCCATAGCTCTGCTCCGAAGAACTTCATGAAACTGGAATTGAGCTGATGTCTTGGTGTGTTTGTTTTGCGTGGGGTATGTATGTGCTCGAATGACGTTTTCAATGCAACACGAGCATCGTGCGCCACGTCAGCATGATCTACGAGCATCATGCTAGAACTCACGGCTGCAAGCGAGACAGCTCACATCTTTCTCATGACAGCGCATGACTTGACAGTGACTTTGTACTATGTACCTCTTTTGCTTGTCTCTCGAAGGTTCTGAGCAGCTTTGGACGCCTGAACCTTTTTGGCTCCTAGACACCGTCAACGCAGTCTTGCCAAGATATCGAAACCTGCACCGAGTCAATGGATCACCAGCACAGACTCGTCGCAGGCGACAGGTCTCAGCGTTAATCCTGGCAGCCGTCGGACGGCCAGAGGCCGAAGGGCCAGCAGTAGACAGTACCGAATTGGAGCTACATTGAGTGCATCAGCCACTAGACGACCTAGCATGACCAATCAGATCATGCCCAGCACAGACGGAAGAATCAAAACTTGAAGAGCTGGTTCGAGATTACAAAATGCCAGATGTTAAAGAGAAATCCTGCTCGTCGCAACCAGCATCGCTTCAAGTTTCGCCCGGCTACGGTCGTCGGAGTGCCTTTAAACCCATTGTCTGCACAGGCTCAAAGTGGCTCGTGGCCCGACATCACGGGCCGGTCGGAGCCTGAAGATCATCGCCAGCGAGACGCAGCATGAGTCTCTACCTCTGCGAGCTTTGACATCTCCGAGGCGGCGACGTCAGCACGGGCTCCGCCTTCTAAGCTTTGGTAACTTCAGTACAAGCACAAGTATTCTTCGGTAAATGGGGGCCACACCTTGTACTGCCTGTGCTGCGGTCGGCACCACGGCATTCTCTCGCCTGGGCCCACCGGCCACTTCACGCAAATTCGTGTGGCAAATTCGAAACTATAGGCAACATCTCCGTGCTCCACAGCTTCTCAAAATTCCCCAAGCCAGGTCGCTGCAAAATCTTTGGAGGTGCAGTGATGCGAACAGCCTGCACTTGACACCATCAGCCATCGATGTCAGGGAACAGGACTGTGCACTTCTCAGGGACAGGCCGGCTTGGAAATCGGCAGCTCGTCGTCTTCGGGATCTCAGCATGACATTCCAGTTTTCAACATGGAGCAACACTCGGACACCGAATGACAACCAAGTACTGTGCCGTCTTTGGCTTCCGGAGCCTGGGCCACAAGCATCATACACGGGCAATGATGAGCGAGGAGCTCATCTTTCTATCTTCGGGGCACATCCAGCAAACTACTCTTACGACCTACACAGCTCTGCTTTACCATTACGATCACACGAACGGCTCTCCGGCAAGGAAGCGCATGCCTGAAAAACTGTTGTCCGTTGACAACCTGCTGAAAGCCGAAACCAGAAATGGTCGTTTGGGGGTGAAGGCTACACGCGCAGCCATGCAAACTTGACGTCTTCATTCCAACATGAGCCTTCCGACCAGCACTAACGACTGCCACATGCCGAACGTAACTAGGTGTGTTTAAGCTGTTTCATGTTGCTGTACGGGCACACGGAATACACAATGTGTCCTAGAAGTGCATCTGGCGGACACCGTGCCAGGCCATAGACCACCCCGAGTAAATGTCAAGAACAGTTTCAACAAAAGAAACTAAGGAAGAACCTCTACGGCAATGGAGAGAAGAAAGGCTGACATGGCAATGGAGAATTCCGAAGGGAGCATGAATTCCTCAACCATTGCACAAGCTGGAAACGTGCAAACATTGGTTTAAAGAAGAAAATTCCTGTACTGTTAACGGAAACATGCAACCGTAAATCTGAATTTGCAAAGCCTTAAAAGCTGCTCTACACCCCAAGCCAAGAAATGCCAAACCCTTCGAAAGTGGACACCCCGAAACCCTAAGCCATAAAAACTACAAAAACCTTGAACTCTGAAACGACAAGCCCCGACACCCCGAAGCTCCAGACCCTGACAACTTTCGCACCCTAAGAACCAAGCTGTGGACCCTCACAAATAAGCCAAAGGGTCAGATCTTCAAACCCCGCAGTCAGCCTGCTCTTTAATGCCAAAAACTCTCAAGCCCTCAAGCCCAGAGCCCGAACACAAAGGCTAGCGGCTAGTGCGCGCTGGAATGCCAAGAAACGGGTTCGGGCAAGAGTGAAAAAGCGGCTGCGTGGGCTTCCAAGAATCGGGTTTGTTTTGCATGTCTGTGCGTCGGGTCTCCAACGAAAAGGCATCGTGGCGGGAGGGAGGCCCACCCCCATTGCACTCCTGAGCAAGGTTTACCGTTTCCGGTAGTTTGCTTGTTGAACGTAACGGTTTGCAGCTGTCATTTCTTTCAGAGTCTCAAAGTTTACTATTCCTTTGCCATGGTCAAGTCTGTCGTGCTGGTTGCGCGTTGCGAATTTTTTGGAAAACACAACATGGGTGCCGCTGCCGTGGACATTGACATGTTTTTTGGAAACGGATGTGTTCAGAGTAGCTCTTGGTTACCAAGTCTTGGTTCGTCTGCTGAGCAAAAAAGCTCACTCTTGCGGCATGTGCGCTTCCAAGAGATTCTTGAATGTGATCGGCACAGCATCTGCAAGATCTGGTTTCATGGCTGAAGTGAGAGTGTTGGGGAGCAGGTTGCTGTCGATATCCTCACTAGCGAATGCTCCACCTGCTTCAATCAGCAGGGCTTCGTTCTCGGCCAAGTGTTCCGGCAGACGAGGAATGAAGGGTACTCATATAAATACTAAGTTACTAAGCAGCACAGTGATTGAAACAAGAATGACAGCATGGGAAACCGTGTCCCTTAAGGCATGTGGAGTAAAGACCCGCCGAAAGGAGAAGAGCAGAACGCTACGATGCTACGCGGCCCCAGAAGTCCATGGGTGTGTGAAAGGTTTGCAAAGCCCACCTACGAAACGCTGAACCCGAAACCTATAGGGTCCGAAACCCTAAACCGGTAAAGTACGTAGTTACGAAGTGGTGGACATGTCAGAGCTGCTTCTTGCGCAACGCAAATCCTCTTTGCCAAAGCGAGGTGAAAATGCGTGTTCAATTCAAGTATTTTCATGAGTGGAGCATCTTTCAGGCTTCATATGTTTCTCTCCAAAGCTGTGCAAACCCCCAAGTCGAGAGAGGTTGCCGAAACATGCTCGGGTCGGTACTAGAACTTCTTCGTCTTCGTCATCCTCGTTGGGATGTTCCTGGCACACTTCCAGCACGGCACACACAAAAACACACACACACACACAGGTTCCAGTTTCACTTGACCTCGATGCGATGAGCACCAGCTGCGCCATTCCTGTCGTGCGTTCGACCGAAAACCCTGCCTTGCAGTGCCGCCAAAGAAGGGCCTCAGACGGTCGCGGTAGTGCCTCCCGAGACAGTCCAAGTGCAGAAAGCGCTGTTTCAGCGGTGGCCGTGGTGGCCTTCCCGCTTTCTCCAAGGCCAGCTTGGAGCGAGGCCTGAGGAAGCGCTCCAAGGCTCCCAAGCCCACGGGCCCACGGGCACTGCAAAAGCAGAAGGTCGCACTAGACTCACCGAAGCTCTTCAGGCGCAGATGAGTGCGGCACGGAAACCTGATCGTGTTTCTCGTACTCCTTGGATGAAGTGGAGGGTCAGTCAGGGTGACTGAAACCTTATTCGGGAACAGCGGCCGCTGACGAAGTTCTCTCTCTTTTTCCTCCTGCAGCACCAGATTGAAAGACTCTCCAAGACCAGCGGCACCAGCAGTTCTTTTCCCACCCCCAGCCTGCTTGGGCAATGTCTGCGTCTGCACATCCGGCTCCGGCGTCTGGGCACATCGCGGGGTGCATCATCAAAAGGCCCTTAGAAGAGCCCCAATTCACCGCTCTCCGTCTCTGCCCGACCTGCTCAGGTACGCCTGGCCCATCACCACGGACCTGGCCGAGCTGAACGGGGCATTCTGCGTATTCAGAAAACGATCTACGGCAGCTCTTGGCAACCCATGTGGGAGAATCTTCACTGTCTCCTATTCGTTGACGGATCGTACGCTTACAAAGGAGAGTTCCTGCATGACTTGCGATTCAAACGCTTCTGATGATGCATTCCGACATGTTGTTGATTCTGCTCGATTCGGCGTCGCAAATCGTCTCTTCAAGGCAACTAAGGGGCTCCGACAGCCCTCTTCAGGCTCAGGAAGTGGTGATATGTTGATCACTCTTCGGGTCACATGACACGACCTTAACACACAAAGCAGGAGACCCAAGCGGCAGAGTTCATTGTCGTGGTTGGGCTATGTTAAGAAACCATATAGGAGTGATCCGATCGAGCCACGCCGGCTGGATCCGAGAAAGAGCGGCTGCAGGTCTGCTTTCTAGTAGGTAAGAACACAGACAGACAGACAGACAGACAGACGGACGGACAGACAGACAGACAGACCGACAGACAGACAGACAGACAGACAGACAGACAGTGAGAGAGAGAGTGGAAGTGCGAGTGGAGTGGGGAGTGGACTGGGGAGTGGAGAGTGGGGCAGGTGCCGGATCAAAAACAAACTTGATCAGGATCAAAAAAAGAACTTATGCCCCAACGGATCAAATCAAAATTTACACAGGATCAACACCTCCTATTCTTTCCAGCAGATGCTGCATGCCGGGTCCCCGCGTCATGTGTTTCACACAGGATGCTCGCGGTGCACGTCTGCCGCCGTGGCGCGGTGCATAGTTTGCGCTGATGTCCCATTATTTGCAGAGGATTGCCTTGCTGCGAGCGCCCGGTGGCCAGGATTCAGTGTAAATAAAACGACATGGTCCACGTTTTGCTCTCGACAACTTTGCATCGCAACAGTATTTGGAGGAAGCGATTCAGGGTGTTTCTCTGAATCTCGCAAGCTAAGGCGGGGAAACGTAAATCGCCCGCGCCCGAAACGCGCCAGTACTTTGCGGAAAATACTTTCGCGCTGGTCCTCGCGACGCCACTACAGGATTTCGTGGTGCTTTCAGTCGTGTGTGAATCCCGCCACTACTTGGGGGAAGGCATTCGAGGCGTGGTTGAACGCGCCAATACTTGGGGAAAAGCATCTTGGCAATGTCCGGGTGGTTTTCTAGTGCTCCTGGTGGTCTCGAGCGGGTCTCCCGGTTGTCGCTTAGTGGTCTCCTGGCCCATGTCGTTGTCGTCCAGGTGGGCGTGGTCGTTCTTCGTGGTTGGTAGCATGGTGTAAGTGCTGGAAAAAGACAGATGGCAACCAGTTGTGACTTGAGACAGGTGGTGACGTCCTGGTCACAACGGCATGCTTCTGGTGTGGCTTTTCGCTGCTTGGGGAACTGCGCCGGCATAATGATGTTAACAATTCTAAGATAACAAAAATGACCATAGTAATAATTGTCGTAATCATAATAGGATCCATGATTTATATACCAATAGCAATAATATCATCATCAGCACCAATAGTAACACTATATGAGTAACGCTACTAGTGTAGTGGTAGTAGTACAGGAGTAGTAGGAATAGTAGGAGTAGCAGGAGTAGCAGGA